GCAAAGGTTTCCTTTCTTCCTTTTCGTCGCCCTGCATTTTCTTTTCTTCAATATGACAATGACGAATGACAGCTATCACCAACACGAACACACCACCATCCAAATCAACAGCTCACTCGGACTCGCATTCAGTTCAGTCTAGTCTAATACGCATTTTGATAGCAGATTCAAATTCAAATGTGAATACTGGAAACTACTGTATATTATTGCTTAAGATATAGGCTATATTACCATAGATAAAACATACTCCCTTAGTAGATTTCTCATCCTTATGGAACAGCTGAAGACAATTTTATTGTTAGTTCTGTACGGTTTTTTGTAGAGGTCGTGTTTTGTTTACAATTTGTTTCCCGTTGTTACAGCCATTTAAAACCTCGTTTAACCAAATAATACGATCTAATCATAAACAATAACTTGTCTCCTAGTTATATAACCAAACAGTAAAGCACAAATCAAGAAATTAACCCTAAAATAATGGAAACAAAGTTTCATCGACACTAGCGCCTTTGTGTCACGTACACGAACTAGACACGAAAAACGTGCTTCAAAAATTACAATGGGATGAGAAGTCTACTTGTGTTGGTTAGTCTATGATATTACTTAAAAGTTATGTTGATAAGTTTTGAATGATAAAATATTGATTTGGTTAACATGTTATTAATGAGTAGGAGTGGAGCAAGTTTTACGTACCTACAAAACAATGCATACATAATTTTTATGAATGTTCTATTTAATTTTTAAATGTGTGCTGGCAACACTGGTAGATATTGTGCCAAGCCAAAGTCATTCTTTTGTTCTTGTCAGCTGACCATCTGAAACATAGGGATAAATAAGAAGGAGAAGAGGAAGAGGAGTTAAGTTGGCGTTTATTAAATAAAATTTGTTTTGTTGTTACTTGTTATTGTTGTTAAGTGCTTAAGCTATGTTTATGGAGCAACTCTAATTATAAATAGTTTCGTGCGTTACCATTGTGTGAACAACAAGTAGCTATGTCTACGTTAGAAGACAAGATTCTTGGGAATAAACTCCACAACTATTGTAGCAGTAGTGAAGGGGAGGACTCGGGTAATGAAGAAAACAGTGGAGAAGACTCAGGTGCCACAGCTCTTCCTAATAAAGGTAGGAATTCCGTTGCAACTAGTGCATGTGAACCATCTAAATGGGATGGGGTCTCTACAAACACAGGTCCTAAAGGCGTTTTAAAAGATTGGCAAAGGTTCAAACAACTGGAATCAGAAAAACGTAAGGAGCAAGATGCTGAAAGACTATCTCTCATGAAGAAGCTATCCCTAACCTGCCGATCTACACTGGATGATGAGAAAGATAAGAACAACTTGGATAATGATTTTGGTGAATTAATGTCTGATGAATTCCTTGAGCAGTTCAGGAAACAACGAATGCATGAAATGCTTTCAAAATCGTCTCTACTCCCCAGATTTGGGGTGGTACATGAGCTGCTCAATGGAGAGCAGTTTCTAGCTGCTGTTGATGATGAAGATAAAAATGTTACAGTAATTGTTCACATTTATGAAGATAAGGTGCCTGGGTGTAAAACAATGAATTCATGCCTTTCTGAACTTTGTCAAGAATATGTTCAAGTGAAGTTTTGTAAGCTGATGAGTACAGCAGCTGGAATGAGCAACCATTTCAAGTCAGATGGCGTACCAGCATTGCTAGTTTACAAAGGTGGCCAGGTGGTTGGAAATTTTGTGAGGGTCACTGACGAACTGGGTGATGAGTTTTACGTCGGTGATGTTGAAAACTTTCTCATTGAGCATGGTATGATAGTAGACAGGTCATGTGTTCCAAATATTATCTCTGGCCCAAAAGCGAATGACGATGATAGTGATGTAAGCTTGGAGTAATTTAAGTTCCATCTTTTATTTAGAAGAGCCTAACTTAGGCAGTTACTTTTTTTACCTCTAGTAAAATTACCTCTATGCAACCCATTTTACATAAGTTTTAGGCCTACCGGTATTTTTCCAATTCTTTTTTTGTTAAATTATTTTTAGGCAGAGGATACGCGTTTGGTAACCAGACGTGGATTAAGTAGGCGTCCGGCAGTTATTGTCATAACCTAACCTAACTAACCAATCTTGTTGATGATGAAAAAATCGAATGAAAATTAAATTTTGTTCATAAAACAAGATTATAAATGCTTCAAATTCCAACAAAATATGTACATTTACCTAGGAAGAAATGGCATTCTAAGCAAAATCTTTGACAAAAAGTTAGTGACACCGATGGGATTCGATCTAAGTACCTCTTGATCATCAGCCGAGTACTCTATCCACTACACCACGAACACTGACGGTATTCCACCGTATCGTTGTGTTAATGGTGTTCTGGGCCCCCACAACCTGGTGACGTCACTGCCGGACGCCTAATCCACGCTTGGTTACCGGACGCGTATCTTTTGCATATTTTTGTTCTAATTTCTTTTTGCTTAGAACCTGGGCTAAGTTTGTCAAAAAATTTATTTAGGCCTTTAAGCTTTGCGTTTTTGATGTTTGTGTTTATGTTAAAACATACAGGTGTATTTTGTGATATTGTAGGCCTACCTAATTGCACGAATGAAGAATCTGCTTGTCTAACTTATGTTTACGAAATAAAGTTTACAAAAATGTACCGGTATGCATAAATTGAGCAGTGAGAATGTTTTCATTTTGAGCAACTTAGACTTTGCCTAGGCCCATCCGATTCATGCGCTTTAAATTCGACTATTGATGAAGGCATGTTCAGATCCACAAATCTTTCTGAGCAGAGATGAATTACACGATGTTAGACTCCAAAACTCATGTTTTAGGCTACACGTTTAACTTCTAGACTTCTTATAATGGACAATACGATATTAAGTCTTGTTAGTTAAACCAGCGAATTGATGTTTGGTCAAAGGCCTAACTTATATAATTTCTTTGAAATCAAAGGTCTATGTACAAGAGCTTTAAGAACTAATTTAATTGGAAAAAATCTCCTTAAATTAAGGTGCACCATAGTTTGTTTTATTTTTTGTGGTAATGTATTAAGCCTAAATGTTATCTACAATCTTTGACTATCATCCAAAAGTCAATGGTACAATCAAAGCTATGACTTAGGGAGGATTTAACTACCTTATTTGTTTATTACATATTTAAGCTTTTTTATATTGGTGAGCACATAAAGAAATGGGCCCAATAAAAATGCTCTGAATGCAAGTAAGTTACTGTCATTTATTTTAGTTTACTTGTTGAAAGTGATATTGTTTAATCTTGTTAAATTAAGTTTATTCCATGTACAAACGTTTTCCACAAAAATTACAAAAAAAGTGTTTGACAACATGGCAATTGCAGCAACACATTTTCAATGTTCCACAAACGGATCGTCTTATGTGTAAACTAGTTTGGATTTAGAAGATGTATCGCTTTTATTTAATAGTTAGGCTATGTAGAAGTCAATTGTTTGATTTTGATTTGTTGTAGATTAGATTGCTTTTTATATTTTTTTATTCCTATATATTCTAAAAGTTTATTAAATGATGTACAGTAGGCCTACATTTGTTTTAGGTATAAGATGCAATTTTCCACCGACTAAGATATTATTTTAGTTTTAATGTCGAATGCTTTTTTTACTGTTAGTTATCCTATTTAGTACGTTTGTTATTTTTGGTCAACAAAATTTAATCTTTCAAGTACAGTACTTGCAGCCAGCAACTTTCTGTATCCACTTCCCCTGTCTTTTAAGTAGTTTTAGTTAGAAAATGTATTACTTTCTTGTGTAGGCTAATGACAATAGAACCTTAGATAAAACTTGACATTCCGTTTTCATGTTAAATTAGTCGTCATTTATACCACAAAAATTAACGCAGTTGAATGGATCCCTCCTCAGCGAGTGCAGCTGTAAATTTATAATTTCTGTTCAATACACTGAATTTTTAACCAACCCCTCTAAAGTAATTGAAATAAAAACTTAATATAATGCTATAGTACATTAACTTATCAAACATCACACTAGGTACCGAAAAAAAAGGAGAAAATCTAATTTTCCCTCTTCTTAAATTAAACGAGGTTGGCGGCCTCTTTAAACTTTGTGTTTGCCTGTCCATCCAGTAAAGAAGGAATCTAAAAAGCAAGGGGTGAGCCAGTACAGTACAAAGGTGAACTGTACTGATAAAATTTAGTCCAGATAACAGGATCCGAACCCACAACATGCTGTCATAGATTCATAGTCCGTTGTGCTACCGACTCACTAAATTTTACAGCATCCAGTGAGTGGTACATTCAACTGTGTTCTATTTTAACAAAAAAAATTCGACAACCTATCCAGTATTAATTGATATTGATAGGATATCTACTGTTGTATCTAAAAGTCAATGGAAGAACTATACTTATTTGGAGTTCATAAGTTATTTCATTACTGTACAGTTTTGATACTTTTCCCTTTATAATTACAACGGGACAGTGCCAATTCAATGAAATCAATAATTGTACAATACTAGCTTTACACATTATCGAGATATTGTATTTTGTAATCTAATGATGTTATATACAATGCTGAAGATGTACGTACTATGTTCATCTTTGTACATTTTGTTCACAAGTTTTCTTGTGCAGAAGTGGACTACATCTTAGGATATTCTTGTATCTGAATTTTTTATCTATTGATTGTGAATCAATAAAATATCTTTTATACTGTGCTTTTGTTGTTCCTGATTTTTTTACCAATAATAGAAAAGGCTAACACAACACAGAACATAATTTTTTCTTTTTTATAGTAGGTTAAAAAAATATCTGGTACATCAATCTCATTTACTGTACGAATACGCTTTAGGCCTGGTTAACTTTCTTAATATTGTCTTGTACGTTGTTAAAATCACTACTAGAATTTAAAATTAAGAACAACCTAAGTAACTTTTGAAAACTTTGCACTTAACTTTTAATTTTGTAAAATCTGTATATTGTATATCAAAGGTAATATAAGGTAAAACAAATATAAGGTAAAAAATCAAGAAATAAGGCGAGGGAATGATCCGTAACTTTATTTAGTTATTCTAATAAAGGACTATATTTAACATTTCAGTAAAAATATGTTAACTTCTTTCATTCAAATCGCTTACACTAGACTGTAAAATTTCTTGTAAAGGGATTACAGTTCAAAATATTAACTAAATAAAACTCTGGTTAAAGGACTTCAATTTCCTATATCCATGTATTAGTTTGGAAAGTCACTTACCAATGACCCATCTTTGTAACATTATAAATCAACAGTGCAACCTTTAAGATGAAAAACCTACACGTAGCAAGAACAAAATCAATTTATAATATAGTAGAGCCCTGATAACAAGTCTCATGGGAATCATCAAATAAGATTTATTGTACTAAGGTTGACTTCTTATCGAGGTTTGTATCCCAGACTTTTTGTAGACCTTTTGTATTAGGGGTAATAACAAATTAGAGGAATTATGAAAATGCACTTGTTGTCAAAGGTGACTCGCTATTAATTTTTATTAATCTATAATTTTACCAACTCCGGACACACCATTTTAAAAATCAATAATGATTACCCTAGCCCCATACATGATATCGGTATAACAAGTTTTTGATCTCAACACATTAACAAGAAAACAATAGCTAATTGAGGAGTTTGTTATTGAGGTTCCCCTGTACATTGTTTCTGAACCAAGTTGACGATAAGAAGACCAACAAACAAAGCAGTAAATTGCGAAAATAATACATAAATAGTAAGACAAACTTATCTCAATAAGTAATTCCAACGTTGATACTCGATTAACAATCACTAAAAATAAACCCTGTGCCAACAGCCAACAATACTAAAATATATTCAGCAAGTTATTCCTCTGCCTTGATACTTGATGAAGAACCTCCTGACGTACTCAAGGCTTTGCTCGTCCAGTCCGAGGCGAGGGGCCTCTGCCTCCAGCTGCGGCAAAGACCCAAAACCGACGAGGAAACTGTTAAGTCTGGCCGCCACATGGGATTGAAGCAGTAAGGAGCTGTCCGGGTCATCTAGGCCTAGCACAGAACATAGCCATGTGTGCTGCTGTAGATGATACTTCTGGTGATACCTGTAACATGAGAGATGAGTAGAATAGTGCTGTGTAGGTTTGTTGCTGATTAAAATCAGCTGTTTCAGAACCGTTAATCAAAAGCCTATGATTATTGCTGGGTTCAGTTTTAAAGCCGCGTTTACAAGAGAGTAGAGCGGCAGGTTACTTGCCTCGATAACGTATTTCAAGTCACCTGACGCAAGTAACCTACCCGCTAACTAACTGGCCTCGTAGATGCGGCTTAATAAACAGTATCAGCAATCTGACACATACTTTCTCCTGTTAGATTGTCAACATCTCTTATCATGAGGACGTTGTGGGAGTAACTATGATATTTTACGGTGTTGTGATAACTCTTTATCAGTAATGTTTACGAAAATGGGTATGTACCTACACTTAGAGTTGAAAGGGCATAAAGTACTACATTTTAATCAAAACACAGTCGAGTAGTTTTGTGGAAATCTGATTTTCCATTATTTATTGGTTTTTATGAGAAAATTGCTTGAGTTGCAACAGCTTTTGAACCATATTTTACACTATTTTTTCAGAGTTAAAAGGGCTATAATATACTAAATTTTAATAAAACACTTTTTGGCCTTTTTTATCTGAATTTTCCGTTATTTTGTAGGTTTTTATTGGAAATTAATCATGAAAAATATTAATTTCATAAGAATGAAAAAAACCGCATGGAAATATACATCATGGATTAAAATCCACATACTAAATTTAATCTAAATCGGAACAAAGATGAGGTCTGTAGCTCAATTCACATCCACACTCACGTAAAAATCCACTTTTTGGGTTCAGGGGGGCCCATAACATGGTAAACTTACCCACTTAAAACTCAATCTTGAAAATTTTGACAAAAACAATACGTTGATTTCCCAATATATTATGTATAGGGGAATAAAGTACAGTAAAAAGCTACTGACTTCTCAGGTATCGAACTGTTATCCTATTGATTATACTCTGGTAGCTCAGCAGTGCTGCTATAACTAAACCCTACCTGTTACAACTGTAGGGATCCTAATCATGCATCCACACTCACCACTGACTTAATTGCCTGAGAGTCCTGATTCTCTTTGACTACCTATAACCTTTTGTCTGATACCTCAAAATCACAATTTTTAACTTAGATATACAGTAAATACCTTGTGTTACTAATTTTTGTTTTTTAATTCCCTGAAAAATGAGTTGAATTACAAAATGAGTATGACAAGAAATAGTTTACTGAGCTATTCGTAACTTACAGTTTAGGCAAGAAAATATATATTACCATTTTGTTTATTGTTTTAGCTGGAGTCAAAAGCAATGCAATTAAGATTTTAGTAAAAAACGTATGAATTGAAGTGCTATAATTATTGTTAACTCGTTTATTAAAATAATTTTACCCAGCCTAAAATTTTTATTTGTTTTACCCAACTGAGGTTTTTTAGAAATAATTGTTGTCACAGGTTAAAAAATAAGGACAAACTGAATATGTAATGGTAGACAGTGTTTAATAAAATTAATGACAAGTTTATCAAATTTTGTCAATAAGCCCTTTTTTATTCGCTCCTGTAGCATTGCTGAATTGCTGGCCTGTTTCATTGCACAATTAAGACTACTTAATGTTAATTGAGTGAATGGACAAAATGTCTGATGACATGCCTGAAGGTTATCTCTGGGAAAAATATCTTGGTGGCTAAATTTTAGCTATAAATTAAGTGTTGAATTATTCCAACAGGCATTTAAGTCTTCAATATAAATACATTTAAAGTTTATTATGGTTTTCTTCAATTAATAAATCCAAGAACCTTGTTGAAAAATTTATTTTTAGTTTGAGTGTCTAAATTTTTAAATTTTAATTTTTAATTTAGACTTTCAAAAAGTGTTTTTAGTTTCTTTTTTTTATACTTACCTGCCGTTTTATAAAAGTGGTCCTTTTTCAATAACAAGTGAGCTTTGTTTTGGCTTCAACTCCTAAAAAGCTTGGTTATTATCTCAGCATAGCTCAAGTCGGTGAGAAAAAAATTATTTGAATCTTAATTTTTGTTTCTGATGTAATAACCTAGGTATTTTATTCTAAATGTGTCAATTGGGTCAGCATTGATGTAATAAGTTAAGTGTTGCGCAAAATTTCCAGTTTTGAAATTTGATTTGTTATAGTGTGGAAGTTTTGATTAGTACATTAGGGCCTACAAGAAAAACAAAGAGAAAATTTTTGAAATCTCAGTCCATCTTTTGATTGCACATATACTTAAAACTTGTATATATTATTGTGTGGACCGATGTTTTAAGTGTTACTAGTCGGTAGCACTACGTCTATTCGGTAGGTAAATCAGTTTAGTACCCCTCTAAAATAAGAAAAAAAAGTTTGTTCAAATATAAACTATTTTTATCTTGGTATTTTATTAATTCCTGTAGCTACTTTTTTTACTCTATGCTTTGAAAAACAGTATTAAAATTATTTTCTCTCGGAGTATTTTTTTCCGACAGCAATTCCATGAAGATTAGCGAAAACATCTTTTACATGATTTGGAAAACATTATGTGAGCCATAATAGTAAATTTCATCACTAGGGCGTAAAGTGAAATTTCGCTCATGTTTCACAAATGAGCCAAGGTTTGAAAATGAGCGAGGGTTTAAACTGAATCCGTCTGTAACTATGGCTATTAATTAATCTATAATCAAGGCCTAAAGACCTAAGGCTTGCCAATTAGGTTATCCTGATGTTACGGAATGAGTAGATTATTTATATGTTGTTGTTTAAGGCGGTGACACACTATCGATCTTTTCCCCGATCAAGACCCCGAACCGAGAAGGGAGAAGGTAGGTAAATATAGGCAAAATTTTAATCCGAACATTTCCAAGACTAGACAAGTTCTACAGAGCGCGGCAAAAGGGAGTTTAGAGTGATGGAGAGCGTGTGTGAGAGATAGCGCGGAGGCAGTAATAATAAAACAGTAATAAAACATGAAATAACATGTTACAGAATGATAATTTTAACTGTCTTTCTATAATAATATTTATGTCTATATTGATTTTAAAAGAATTTAAGTATAACATCAATTACTTAATTCAAGTTAAACATTATTGGTATCATTGATAAAGGATTTTTTTATTTGATTTAACGGTTTCAACTTGTAAAATACATTTTCAACCTTGACCAAACAAACCACAAAATTACAACATAAATGCCCCTAATATATAATGGCAAGATATTACCCAACATTTATTTTACCAATTAAAGAGTTATTTAATCAATTAAAGTCAATCAAAGTCAATTATCAATTAGAGTCAATTAAAGAGCCATATTAAATTAGAACTATCAACGCTAGCGCAGGCGGCTGCTCGGTGCGGCGCTCACGACGATGTACAGGGCAAAAATATACTGTAACACACTGTCGTACATCACTCCATACATCGGACCGATCTTTTCTTTGATCTTTCGCCTAAAAACCGCCTCCAAAGCGCTTGGCCTGATGTCTGGTTTGCCGTCTGGATCGGTGTACGGACCCCTGACACACTATCGAACATGCTCCCTTCTCCCTGCTCGGTTCGGGGAAAAGATCGATAGTGTGTCACCGTCTTTAATAAGGAATTTTGTTACTTTATACAATATTTTTTGTGTTCATAAGCTGAGAAGACTTTTAAAACCAACCATGATAAGACTAAGGATTAATATTTTACCTTCAAATTAGTGTTACTATTGCCACAAAGTTTAGAATTCACATTTCAGGTTAATAATTCATTCAAACACCTTCCTAAAACTTTTTATTAGTAAACAGAATATAAATATAAATTTACAACACATTTGTAAAATGATTCAAATGATATATAAATATACTTTCACCAATACATTATAATACATACTAGAGGTCGTCCAGTGGCCAAAAACTCAACCAAAAATATGTAATATACAGATTTCTCTAATTTCATCCCACGCTGTAAATAAATCATGTGATTGGAATTCCTTCCATTTGTTATGATTTTCTGTTTATATTTCGGCAACACATAAGGCCCATATAATTTTTTAAATTAAAATTCATTTTTTGTGGTTATTTTGACTTTTAAGCCTATTTTAATTTGTGAATGGATTCTACGGTAATGGCTTATTATATATGGGAAATTCGCTAAAAGGTATAGCTGTTGCTGTATCAACCCAGGCTCTCCTTTCGATTTATTAAAATGTCCAAGTTATGAAAATAAAGTTAGGTATTAATATATTTTTATGTAAAAAGTAGGAAAACTACAATGCAGGCCTAGGCCTATACTATACTTTTTTGTTTATTTTTTGTGGCTTTTTTGTTTATACATTTGTTTATAAATTATTTAACAAGTGTTTAGATCCGGCGGTATAGTAGATCTTTCTGTTGCGAAGCACGGGTACAGCAGCTTGTCTCTTAAAGACAGAAAACCAGAAAATACTTGTAAAGCAAGAGATATAAAAAAGCATATAGTATTTCCTGAAAATTCATCTGCAAGATGAATTTTTAGAACATAAAAAATAAACTTGTCTATTGTCTATTGTAGGCACATTAGTGATATTTTTATCACTCTCTTCAACACACCATTCCTCTTCCTTGGTATTTCACCACATATTCTCGGACGTAGTCCGTTGTCTCTTTGTTGAATCCCAATTTTGGTGCTTCCTCTTCAAACTGCTTCACCGTAGTCATCCCTACAAGGTAGGCGTTGACTCTAGCTGCAACGTGCGAACTTTTCAGTTTCTCATCGTCTTTCTTGAACCCCAACCCTTTCAAGAGGTCCGTGTGTTGTTGGAAACGGTACTTCTGATGATAGCTGCGAAATAAATTGAGCTTTCTTAAAAAGTTTAACTTCATAAATAAGTTTCTACAGAAGTCGTTTACAGCGTCGAATACATGTGCGGAATCTCTAAGGAGAATAATTAAAATATTCGCAAGCTTAATTTTACCTCAATTTGATCATACTGGTGGTTGAAAATTGGTTAGTTTGGTTAGTAAAATAACAAACATTCAATCCATAACTACCTCCAACTGAAAAAAGGTGGTGCAAAATATTTTTGCCTTGTGAAGTGGTACACAAGGAAGAAAAGGTTGGAAGACTGCCTTAAGAACATTTGATTAACCAGAAAATGTTAAGAGCGTAAAGTGCATAATTTTATGTGTTTAGTGAGTGGTGTAAAATGTAAATTGCCAGAAGAAGAAAAGACAACGCCGTAGAATAACCTTTTTAAGTCCTCTCCTGTCCGGTCCTTCTTAGTCATTTTTGATGTGCAACCCTTGGCCTTGGTTAGAATCAAAATTATTTACAATTTTCACTTATTAAACTTCGTCTTGAGGATTTATTCACAGAACACTAGTTCTTTAAAATCCCTAACACAAAAGTCCCTTACAATAATTAGTGCTTATTAATACACATTACGAAACACAAACCTCACGAACAGAAAAAAACTTACCCTTCAGCATCATAAAATTTGTCAAAAGGCTCGATCCTCGTGGACGCTTCTTTTTTTTGTGTTTGTTTGTATTCCTCCTTCGTCTTCTCTGCCAGAGCCTTCTGTTCAGGACTGTGGTAGAGAATCAGGGAACAGTACTGCGGCAGAAAAACATAAGGTAAGTGGTATAAATGAAGGTTCAGCAAATGAAAATACTAATTCAGGCCTATTTAAAAATATTAACGATCCAGGAGAGGGTTATTCTTCGGCCAATTGATTATTGTTTAAGTCCTTTTTTCTATTCTAATCTTTGTTTAACTAACGCAGGTATTTGCCAGATTGGGTCACAGCGTAGGCAGTGAAAAAAAACTGCAAAACCCCTACCAAAAAAATAAGTGTTGTTGAAGCAAGAATATTTTTAGAAACCCAGCAGAAGTGGATCAATCATATTTGACAGAGGGTGAAACATTCCTCTTGTCTGCAGCACATACACACAAAACGTGGCAGAAATTAACATATAGAATAATAAGTTGATCTTTAAAGATAAAAACATACTGTTATGTTATTCCAGGATGTACAAAAATAAAACCAAAGACCATATCAGGTCTTCATGAATACCTAAGACAAATTTTACAAATGTATCCCAATCACCTGTGTTTTCATTTTGTAGCTTGGGTCGTGATTTTTCCAAAACTCCTTCAGCAAGTCTTCATAAGTTATCTTCTTAGGATCAAAATCGACCTGAGTAATTTCTGTGTGATCACCTCTAAAACAATTAAGCCATAGAAAGTGTTACCAAATAGCATGACAATTGATTGAGCCTGAATAAACAACACACAACACTTAAAAAAACACACATTGTAATTCCTAGTCTTGATCTTAATGTGTCTTAATTTCAGTAATTTATTGAAATTTGTACAGATTTAACATAAAAGTTATATTTTTTATTCGCAAAATAAAATAAGTAGGCTTACACGTTTCAAAACTACTCACATGTTATAGTAAGTGGGGTTTGCCATCTTTCCCCCTCCGTATCCAACTTTAGTGCGAATCACTCCAACTTTTCCCCCGTAGAGAGAGTCAATGCCCCAAAAGCAGCCCATTCCAAAAGTGGCCTTCTCAACAGGGACGTCAACATCATGAAGAAGCTCCATGGCAGACTGCAAAAATAAACGGCAGTTTTAAAATCAGCTGATTTTAGTCGATAACAAAGTGATAAAAGGCAACAGAAAACAAACGTTCCGGAAGTTAAACGACAGATTGGAAACAAAATAATAATTTTTTATTTTATAAAAATTAATCTTTATAACATATGTTTTATTCAAATATCACTTATATTTCCGTATAGGCCTAGCACTTTCGTTTTATACGGAGGCCACCCTTTTACAGCGTGTTGCGGTGGTTAGGTTGGATTGGGTTATCATAAATTGATTATGACTAATCTGTTGAGATGGGCTGGGCTGCCAACAAAATGACAATATTCTGTGTCAAGTGATAAATCAATAATATAGTCAATGCCTAAACTAAACCTTTGTGTAGAAACACCATTGTATTGCAATAACAATGTAAACAATTGAATATGGTTAGGTTTCACCATTATTTGTTAACATTATGACCTATAAAATACTTATTATCACAATATAATATTTACCCCTTCAGTAAATCTGCTCGATCCCCTAACTACGTTAGAAATGTTTGTAAAAATCGATTTGAACATTAATAATTGAGATTCTCTTATCTAGTGAAAGTATTTTTCCTTATGTAATCGGTGAAATGAAAACAACAATGAATCACACACAACACCCCACCCTCCTTGACAGATCAAGATGACCATGACACTTACTACTACTTAATTCGACTGAACCAGTGTTGCCACCCAATTCGGTATTCAGCTTGAATGGTTCACACACACACACACACATATATATATATTATGGTAGTGAACTCCCAGTCCCTCGACACTATGGGACTCACCTAATTGGCAGATAATCCATAATCCTTAAGCCCAACAAATACAAAAAAAATACAGGATATAAGCTCTAACACACTATAATCATATAAGCCAAAGGAAGTTTAAATCCAATAAGTACATGGGATAAAATATGTGGCAATAAATAACTCCTTTAAAATTCCTCGTGAAGGTCCTTTAATATTACCAACTGTAATATTTGCTCTTTGCTGTAATATAATATTAATAAAATTTCAGTCCCAGCAATCGTCAAAGCAAAAATAGCACCCTTAAATGCACCACATCTGTCTAAGGCCTTTGATTGTGTCAGGCATGTCATTCTCTTGGAGAAATTGAGATTGTATAGGATATCTATGGTTCATCTTTTTCCTGGTTTTCTAGTTACATTTTCACATCACCAACAGATAAGCAGGTTTGTCATCAAAGTTTAATCCGGTGTCAAACATTTTTCCGAATGGAGCTCAGTAACCCATGGCGTTCCGCAGGGATCTAAATTAGGGCCTCTTCTGTTTATCCTCTACATCAATGACTTTTATTTTTCACTTTCTTCCAAAATTATTCAATTCGCTAAAGACTATGATACAAAAAAAAAAGAGCACCTATTCTTTGCAACTATTGCATCCAGAGATTTAGATTCCATGATAGCTTGGTTTGCACAACACGGACTACCTACATCCAAACTGTTCCAGAACTCATCTTCATTTCCATAACCCACAACAAACTAAATCAGGCGATTCCATACAATCTTCTACAAATACTAAATTCCTGGGTGTAAATATAAATTAAAATCTAAAATGTCTCCTGGACAGCTCTGTATGAAGGATCGCCATGGTACAAGGGCAGGGAAATTTACAATAACCTCCCAGAACACATTAAAACTGAAGAAAATATGTATCCTTTAAAAGAAAATTAAAATGTTATCTCATCCTCTTGTGCATGTGTCCTTATTTCCTAGACGTTTTTATAAAAACGTAGCTTTAGGTTTTATGTATTGATGAAAAAAAAAACAAAGAATCACATTCTTGTAAAGTTTATATGACAAATAAACATTTCATTTCAATATGATTGAAAATGATTCTAATACAATATGTACATTAAAGTCATAACAACAATTAAACTTTGTGTATAGGACTCCAAGCATCTTATAGCGTATTGAAAAAAATACTAGGCCAAAAAACTTAGGTGTAATGTGATAATATTGACTACAGTATCCACACCACGGCCACCTTTAACTTCTCCACACTGCGCTGGCGATACCATTGAGTGAATAAAATCAATGGCACTACTTCTCATAATATATCTGAGAGTCTGGATACACACTATAAACTAGCAGCTTTTTTCGAAGGTGCTACACAAGAAGTTTGTGTTTTGTCGTCTGCTTTAGGTGTCACTATTTTCTTACCCTCTTTCTTCTATCTTACATAAACCATATAATTTTATTTTTAATTAAATCATACCTAATATAATTTTTTATTGTATTGAAAATGCTTTGAACGGTGACATTTTGAAGCTTTGGTGCGTCTTTATTTAAATTGTAATGGCAAAATTACTGTCACTAGTTGGAAATGTTACCCATGGACTTTGTATTTCATATCACTTCAGTGTTTCAAGCTGTAGGACAATGGCAACAAATTCATCTCCTGGTCATGTTTTACTAGGTAAAATTGATATTACGGTTCAGTATATTTTTTGTGGCTATTTTACAACGAAGCTAATTAATTCACCACTTAATCTTAAATTTATTTAAAATGTGCTAATAACCTACCATTTGAATGAAATTAGCTTGTAAGGCTATCCATCTAAGTTAGCCTCATTAAAAATCTTCATTCTCAATAGGAAGCCCACTGCCCAGTGTCATTAGAATCCACAGTTTTGGTTTCTTTGGTTTTGGTCTCACTGCCCTAGCCACTGAGGATACCTCTTGGGGTAGCGGATTTTTATCCCCCTGGAATTTTACCCCCTGGGCAAACGTGACGTCACAAACCAGGGGGTAAAATTCCGGCCGCGAACTTTTGAGTTTCGCGACATCAGCTCGATGGATTAAACGCGGAATTAAACATATATTTTCACGGTTGTGAATTTAATCAGAACACATCAAATTATAAATACCTAGAGTGTACGGCCCGGATTTTTACCCCCCGGAATTTTACCCCCGGAATTTTACCCCCCGGAATTTTACCCCCGGAATTTTACCCCCTGGCTAGATATAAAAATTAGTGAGAATGATTAATTATCTTCATTCTGTTTTAATTTAATAGTAAACATTTTATTATTAAGCAGCCTATCTTAATATAGGTTATCTTTATCATTACAAACTATAAATAGCACATGGTTTGTGCCTGAAGAAACAAGAAGGTTGTTGTACAACTGAAACTAAATACATTGTTTTTCATACTTATTAACATGGCCTATTACTTATTTACATACTTATTAACCAACAGTTTGCCCAAAGGCAAATCCCGAACATCAAAATTGAACAGCGAATTCGTTTGACTTAGTTGAGATTACAAAATAAATAAATAAAGATAGGCCACTAAATAATGAAATGTTTACAATTAATTAAAAACAGAAATAAGAAAACTAATCATTCAATTTCTAAAATCGAACAGGGGGTAAAATTCCGGGGGGTAAAATTCCAAGGGTAAAATTCCGGGGGGTAAAATTCCGGGGGTAAAATTCCGGGGGGTAAAAATCCAGCCCGTACATTTCAGTTGTCTAAACACTAGTTATATGGACAGGGGGTAAAATTCCGGTTTTTATCGCTAATTGAATTAATCACGCTCTGACTATTTTCATTAGACTTCGAAATCCGCGGGGGTAAAATTCCGGCCGCGAACAAACTTTTGGCCACTCAGGTTACTACGTCATAGTGACGTCAGCTTTGCCCAGGGGGTAAAATTCCAGGTGGGTAAAATTCCGGGGGTAAAATTCCGGCGACCCTACCTCTTCAGTAGGTATAAGGGTTAAATACGTCTGGCATCAACCTCCGACTGACGATATGGTTGACACCGATATGCCACTATGGATAATCTACCGTTTATTTTTAGAACCACATTCTCACAAGTCCCAAAAGGCTCTGTCACTTTCAATAGATTGGACATCAGAACACGAGTACTGTAGCTGCTTTGTTGACACAATTTGTGAATATGAAGGATAAAGAATGCTACCTTCTTTATTTGTAGTAAAAATAGGAGAAGAGTACAATATAGGAAGAAAACAATCAATCCACAGGGAAATTTCCCGGTCCTGGTCAACACATAACTTCGCAAATTATGCGATTAACCGAGGTTCTTGCGCAGTCTAAATTGGCACAAAGTAGAAGCATTTTTATAAGTCTTTGGTCTGCTTGAAAATCTGTAGAAACTGTACAGTTTTGTCAGATAATAGGCTAACTAACACGACTTCAGGATGTAAACTGTGTGTACATAAACTTAGTTAAACTGACCAAATGCTTAACATGTTTTAAAGACCAACTCTGCAATAATTTTGAGTTCACGACCAAGCACTGACTGTATTTTTAACTTTATGCCTAATAATTTGTTTACGGAGTGTACTCAATAATTTATTTTTTAACTTTGTAGGAGGTGGTACAGGATTCATAGGAAGTGCATTTACTTATCTTTTAAAATCAAAAGGATATGAAGTAACGATTATATCCCGAGTACCTGGACCTCAAAGGTTAACATGGGTAAGTTAGTTTTCCTACTGAACCAAATTTAAATTAACTAAAAAATTAATGCTAACCCTGTATTAGACAGTGTGATAGGTACCGGTAGCAATTTAACCCTTTGAGTGCCAACGTCCGGGGAACCGGACGTTTTTAAAACGAGCCAAAAGTGCCAACGTCCGGCCGACCGGACGTTTTTAGAACGAGCCAAAAGTGCCAACGTCCGGCTGACCGGACGTTTCGTAATGATCGAACAGCTGTCATAACAACCGAATAAATACTCGGATTCTTTTAACCCATATATTAACATTGAGTCGAAAGTTGCTAGATGCGATACATCGATTTTCGTTGGTCGAAATATCGAAAATTCGATTTTTACGAAATTTTAACCTAAAAATCGCCAGATCGCGCTCGGCATTTTTAGCGCGACCTTCGGCAAAAATCATCGGCATTTTTTGAGCGTTACTTTTATTTCTCGCCTGGCACTCTAAGGGTTAAATTGCCATTGAGTAACAGGGGAGTTGACATAAAACTTAAAGTAACTTAAACTTACAGTATTTAAAATAAATGGCCAAATATAGATATAATTAGTAAACAGTAAACCCTGACACCTAACATAAAACCTAATGTGGTATGGCTTTACATTGTGAGCATTTCTAACTGTAAAATCCTGCTTGTTTCTATTGAGCTGGTTACAAGTAAGGTAGGCTAATAGTACTGAATGAGTAAATCCATATTTAGTGAATACTAGCTGTTACTCACGGGCTTCATCCTGTTTAAATTCATTACTATTATTAAAACTATTGATTGGTTAAGTTAAGCTGAAATAAACAAAACAGAATACAGTAATACAGTAAAACAAATAATCACAGATTTTAATTAGGTAAATTTAAAGAATAACAAACAAGTACAGCTGAGGTATTTTTAACATTAGGTATATGGAAAGTTCCCTTTAGAAAGGAATTACGGCCTAAAAAGGGCAACTTGTGAAATAACGGATAGTTTTGTGCAAGGTTTCTTGTCATGACAAACATTATGGCTTATGGGGGTGTGACTTGTAGTTTTCTCAAAAGTGCATCTGGGTACTTTGGGATTTATATGGATTGCAGTCTGGTGGCCAGTCTAATTAAATATAAAAAACCTCTGTGAAGGCCCAATGGAGATTTTACCTAGCCAGCCTAGATGCCACCATCTGCAATTGTAATCGAGCTAAATGAATTCAGTTGACTTTGTATAACAGATGTTTAGTGTGTATCCGATTTTCCACTCTTTGGGAGTGACTTTGTAGAGACTAAATATTTACCCAGCTGATTAAAAGACGGTAGGCCTACAATATCAGATAAAAAAAATAGATTTAGATGTCTGAAGAACTAGGCCGAGGCCTAAAAGTCAATGATAATGGATGAGTCTATTTTAATAAAACAACAATTGACCATGATAGGTCGGAGCCTAATGACCCAAAGTTTATTTTCAACACCAAGAACCTCACATTGGATAAGAAATAACAGAGGCATGATGACAAAAACGAGCGACTTTATTAATATTGCTTAAGTCTGTACCTATTTTGTGTAAAATCTTCAACAAATAGATGTCGATCTTACTTATCTGTTGACTGCATCAAAAATCTTTATAATACCAAGAAGCCATATTCTGGGGAAAAATAGCAACATCTCTTTTTTACCTCCAGGATTGATACTACAAAATAAATTATACAGGCTACCATGAACATGACATAGGTAGTGATAAAAACTGAATAAACGATGGCCAGTTAGGTATTTAAATTAAACTATTTGAATTAAACAGTCAAATTGTTAGATTGATAATATTTATCACTCAATGATTTTCAGTTTGATATTCAGTCAAATGGTCTTCCACAAGGCGTAACCGCAGTTGTGAACCTTTCCGGCCAGAATATCCTGGATCCGCTGCAACGATGGACTCCAGGCTTCAAGCAGAACGTCTTCAACAGTAGAGTAAACACGACGCACAATCTGGCTCAGGCAATCGTCAAAGCGCAGACAAAACCTAAAGTGTTTGTTTGCATATCTGGTGTAGGTAAGTCTTCTCGAGAATCTGTAATGCAATAGATACAATAAAGTACTTTACCTTTTTTTACTGAGAGCCAAGCTTGATTTCTATGGAATTGCAAAACACAGCTGGTCAGCTTATTGTGAAGTCTCATTGCAGGATCTCTTCCCTCGTACAATCCCAGATCCTTTATAAACCATGAGATTTTCTTTGTGCTTGTTCCATAACCCTAATTTTTTTTAAATATACGTCAGTTAAATTTTTACATGATGAATCAAACGAGGAAGTACTTAAACTTTTTTAGAGTAAGCGGTCCAAACCCAAGTGTTGTGGATATACTGGGAAATTGAACCCCTTCCGCACCGTCCAAGACGTACAAGGCACACAACCTTCCTTTTCATTCCCTCCATAACATCACAAGATTCACAATAGATATTTTTTGCTGGGCTGCACATACAAACAATATGTAGAAGGCTGTTAATTGTCTTCTCATAGAAATTTCACTAGAGGCTCACAAAATTGGCTCCCATCTGGTTTTAACTCCATAGGAATTCTCAGTGGGCACTAACAAAGGCCATTATTTTCCTCATACAATTTTTAATTAAATACTAGAATCTTCGTGGCTACTTCATCATGTACACTGATTGTGTACTGACTGATCTTGATGAAAAATGAAGAGACTAACATGTCACAAAGAATAGTTATGTTCAAGGAAAGGCTCTAGGCCAGGACTTTGAATTGTAGAAAAGGGAGGATAGCGGCTGAGGGACGAAATATTGTGTGCACAGTGTAATTTTTACATGTTCTATGGCCTACCTACACTTTCAAGGTAAGCTAGCTGCTATCCTCTTTTTCTACAATTCAAAATGTCAAATGATACAAAGAATGTTTTGTATCTTCTCTCATTCTGATTCAGAAAGGTACACAATGTCTTACTCCATCCCTCCATTTCCAATAAGGTTCTGACTCCATTCCGGGGTAGCGGATTTTTATCCCCCTGGAATTTTACCCCCTGGGCAAACGTGACATCACAAACCAGGGGGTAAAATTCCGGCCGCGAACATTTAAGTTTCGCGACATCAGCTCGATGGATTAAACGCGGAATTAAACATATATTTTCACGGTTGTGAGTTTAATCAGAACACATCAAATTATAAAAACCTAGAATGTACGGCCCGGAATTTTACCCCCTGGAATTTTACCCCCGGAATTTTACCCCCCGGAATTTTACCCCCGGAATTTTACCCCCGGAATTTTACCCCCTGGCCAGATATAAATTAGTGAGAATGATTAATTATCGTCATTCAGTTTTAAATGATAAACATTTTATTATTAAGTAGCCTATCTTAATTTATATGTTACATTAACTAATCGAACAGGGTTTTAATATTAATTTTGAAATTCGAGTGTCAGGATTCGATCTTTGAAGCCAACTGTTGGTTAATATGATCAAAATAAAACAGCGAATTCTGTTTACTCAGTTGAGATTTCAAAATAAATAAATAAAGATATGCTACTAAATAATGAAATGTTTACAATTAATTAAAAACAGGAATTAAGAAAATCAATCATTCAATTTCTAAAATCATCCAGGGGGTAAAATTCCGGGGGTAAAATTCCGGGGGGTAAAATTCCGGCCCGTACATCTTCAGTTGCCTAAACGCTAGTTATATGGACAGGGGGTAAAATTCCGGTTTTTATCGCTAATCTAATTAACCACGCTCTGACTATTTTCATTAGACTTCCAAATCCGCGGGGGTAAAATTCCGGCCGCGAACAAACTTTTGGCCACTCAGGTTACTACGTCATAGTGACGTCAGCTTTGCCCAGGGGGTAAAATTCCAGGGGGATAAAATTCCGGCGACCCCTCCATTCCACCCTCCATTTACCCATATTTGGTTTGAAACTTGCCCAGTTACGTCCCTTTGTCAATAGGTATATAATTGCTATTACTGAACTTTCACACTTATTGTACATTTTACCCTTCAAAACATGACATTGACTGACTAATCCCTTTCGATTTCTCACAGTAGTTTTGATGCAGGTATTTATAAGCCCGACGCTACTGTAGACTACGATGAAGACTCGACGCTTGGTCCTCCGTTTGACTTCTTGTCCGATTTGGCACAGAAGTGGGAAGAGGCTTCACTGATGCCTGACACTGATGTTAGAAGAGTCATTGTCAGATCAGGTATGTAGAAAACTAGTATGTCTTTTGCATGAAACCCAAGCAAATATTGATCCATACTTCAGTGTCAAGTTTTATACATATGCATATCTTCCTCCTACCTGGTTACTCCCGTGTCTGGACAATTACTAAGTCTATTTATTTCTTTTCAAACTCGATAGATTCTCTTCCTTCAAATTCTCTCATTTCCCTTCTCTTCTCTTCACATCGCTCTTTGTCTCATTTAACCTTATGCTTCTAAGTCTTCCTTTATTCTTCCTCTACTGCTATTGTATGAATATTCCTTGGAATGATTTCTCCTTTTTGTCCGAGCCATCTTTGTCTTGATGTTTCCACCCAAGAGACCGGAGGTGTCTTTCTCTTCATGCCTCTAGCTCTATCCCAGCTATTTAATCTTAAGCTCCTGTTAAAGTTTAAAAAGCACGTGCAACAATAAAAAGTTTGCACGAGTTTAACTCCTATTTCATAAATTTGAAATGAAAAATCCTCATTGCAATGCAATAGCCAAGAAATAAATATATATTAGTCCTTGTAATGTACCAGAGACTGATATTTAAGTCTGGGTTTTAGAGAGAGCTGGTCTCGAAAGTCCTCTGTTCAAATACCGCTAATCACCAATGGATTTCATCTATGTGATAATGCCACGATCCTCTTGACCTAACCTAAAGTAATGTGTAAACTGTTCAGAACTAGAGCCTACTTTAAAACCGTGAAACATGAAAAAACGGTTTATCGTTTTAGGTGTGGTTCTCGGCCGCAGTGGAGGGATGATACAACAGCTGTTTCTCCCGTTCTTCATGGGTGTGGGAGGGCCTGTAGCCAGCGGAACTCAGTACATGCCATGGATACATATTGAGGACATGTGCAATCTTCTACTCTTTGCCATAGAGAACGAAAAAGTCACAGGCGTCTTAAATGGTGTTGCACCTATGGTAAGTCTACTGAGATATTTGTTAGATGTAATTTTTGAACGCATTGAATACTGCCCTAATGATACAAGAGGTTTTTGTGAATAAACGTCATCAACGACCTATGAAGACAAAGTAAATTATTTCAATGTTATTTCAAAGCAATGTATTTATTTATGTAACAAATATTCCATTTTATCCAGACGATTGCTTTATGAATGAGGGATTCTTGTACATATAAGTCTTAACAATAGCTTTTCACTGTTTCTAAACAATAAGCCAAATGTATTGATTCTTTATCTAACCTAACAAGTATTCAACAGTGAATGTTTTTCAGATTGTCACCAATCAAGAGTTTACGACAGCCTTTGCCCAAGCGATGTGGAGGCCATCTTTAATTCCACTGCCGGAATTCATCGTCAACACAATGTTTGGTGAAGAACGAGCCAAGATCATGACTCAGGGACAGAAAGTAGTTCCGAAGAGAGTGTTGGATTACAAGTTCCAGTACAAGTACCCGGACATTATTAGTGCATGTACCCAAGTGGCTCGGTTATTTTACAAAACACCCTTTTAGCGATGATGAATTCTAGTCATAAGGTGCATTTTATAGCGATGTTTTGTAAATATATTATTATTGTGAAAAGTTTTGTTGTCTCTCATATTTTATCAGCCTTATCATTGTATGTTACTTAGTAATTGTTCGATGAAAAGTAAAATATTAAGAGCTCTGTCAGGATAGTTTTTTGGGGAAAGTAATGTAGCCTAGGGGTTTTTAAGGGACAAATTGTATCATAGTATATACATATAAAATTAGAGTTAGATTTTGTGTTTGACTATTAGCATTTTATAAGATTTTTTTTGGGAGATTCAAAGATCACATAACAGTAAACGAGTATATTGATATTTCGTCCTATTGTAGGCCTTCCTTCACATAGCCTATTGAATACAACAAAATTGGGTGAGAAAATTTGTCATAAAAACCATGCCAAGTGTAATAAGGATTCAATAGTTAAATTTTTAACTAAATAAACGGTTAGCATTCTAACACATAATTTCTCCCATAAGTTTGTCAACAACCTTTATCATGTGTAAGCGGTTAGTGTAAATATACGAAAATGGGATTTGTACAATTTTGTTCAGAATTTAAAGGACTACATACTAAATTTTTATCAAAATCGTTTGGGCCATTTTTGAGAAAATCTGATTTTTCTGTTATTTTATGAGAAAATAACATAATTTACAATAACTTTTGAACCATAATTTTTACAGAAATGGGATTTGTACCATTTTGTTCAGAATATAAAGGACTATAACATACTAAATTTTTATCAAAATTGTTCGAGCCAATTTTGGGAAAATCCGATTTTCCGTTATTTTATGGGAAATTAACATAATTTACAATAACTTTTTAACCGTAATTTTTACAGAAATGGGATTTGTACCATTTTGTTCAGAATATAAAGGACTATAACATACTAAATTTTTATCAAAATTGTTCAGGCCATTTTTTGGAAAATGCTATTTTTCCGTTATTTTATGGGGTTTTATGGGGAAATCCCCATTAAAAATAAAAATTTCTAAAAAAATGAAAAAAACTATCAAAATTGTAAGGACCATAACATACTATGTTAAATCAAAACCGGATTTTTGTCTAAAATCCTACTTTTTGTTATTTTATGGGAAAATAACATAATTTACCATAACTTTTGAACCATAATTTTTACAGAAATGGGATTTGTACCATTTTATCCAGAATTTTAAGGGCTACAACATACTAAATTTTTATCAAAATCGTTTTGGCCATTTTTGAGAAAATCCGATTTTTCCAGTTTTTTATGGGAAAATCCCCATTAAAAATCAAAATTTCAAAAAAATTAAAAAAAAACGCCTGGAGATACCATGGATTAGAACCTACATACCAAATTTCATCGAAATCGGACCACAGGTGTAGTCTCTAGCTCTGTACACATCCAGACACACACACACACACACACAGACATCACTTCGAAAACCACCTTTTTGGGTCCAGGGGGACCCAAAACGAATATATCCACTCAAAATCGAAAATTTTGATGAAAACAATACTTTCTCCATATACCGTACTATGGTATAGGGGGAGAAAGTAAAAACTAACCTCAGGGTTCAAAACCAGTGTTTAGCCAAAACTAGGATCACCTGCCACTTATCCGGGTATTTTGTTCTTTTTTGGTATGAAAATGGTTCAGAGGCTGAAATTTGTGAAAATATTGATATTTTATTCAGGAGTTTTACTCGTGGGAAGATCTAAATCCAAGGCAAACAAGAAGCAACTGGAGAGTGATTGTTTTTCACATTGCTTCAGGCTAGACATAGGGGTTGCGGCATTATAAATTATATAAAATCCATTGGCAATTTGGCAGGATTTGAACCCGGGACCTCAGGGACATAAGTCCCACAATCTAACCACTATACCAGCTCACTCCCCTAGAAAGATGCTGCATTTAGGGTGAAGGCTGTAGGCCAAAGGAATCAATCAATCACAAAATTAAAGCTGACATGCATCTATTTTTGTAGCTCAGTCTGATGCTTTTGTACCAGACTGCGATCATGGGTGTTAGTGGAGTAATCGTAATTACTTTTTAAAACCTGATTAAATGATTATGAGTTGGCATTTTTTATGACAACATTTTCATTTCAGTTCCCTTCCATAACATCTAGTGTTATGTGTCCTAAAAGTTTGTTACTCATACACAAATTATCTGAACAATGAGTTTTAATGTTACCTATAGTTTTTGTCAATGAAAAAATAGGTTGTTTTTTTTTTTTGTTAAGTCTGTTTTATAAAAAAGGCAAGTAAGGGGAGAGAAATAATTAAGGACTAAAATATATTTTCACCACACTATGATGTTTTTGGCTGTATTACATACGTTAATTGGTGGCTGAAAGTTACGTTTTGCTGGCCATGCCAGCTGTCATCGTAATTTGGGGACCGAGCAGGTTTTTACAGGCCGGGGCCGCAAAATCAGCTGTCCGCTTACTTACTTAAAACATGAATGTGTTTTAAATACACAATCAAAATCCATAGCATTGCAATATAAAATTGTGTTATTGTCACCGTTGCCTAGCAACTATTTATTTTTATTTTTGCTGATTCCTCAAATTATTTCTTCACATAACCTTAAAGTTGTAGTTGTGTTGACGATCAGTGTTCATTATTATAGTGGTGAATAGTGGTAATAGGGTAAAGTGTGGTGAAAAATAGCGTTCGTACCACGGACCGAAATGGTTTTGCAGCTCTCGATCGATTTAAGTTCTCGACTTCGTCTCGAACTTAAAAACTATCTCGAGCCGGCAAAACCTCATTTTCGGCCCTAGGTACGAAATATACTATTGCATTTTATATGTTGCAACCATGTTATACATTGCATGATTTCTTATAAACAAAACAATTTGACTTAGGCTATTATGGCAAAAATATTTTTTTTTTACTTTTGAAACAGCTGACAATATTCATGTACTTTTAATTGTTTTTGTTTTTCAATTTTAATTTTAAAAATTGCTTCAGCCAGAAAATAAGTTTTCTCTAAATTATTAAACTTATTTTATAGCAGAACTAGCAGAGTACCCGTCCTTCGTACGGGGTTGGCATATAAGTATAAATGCTTTTAGTTATTGGAGAGGACACTGTTTATTAAAATTTGGTCTTTTAATTTAAACGGTATTATATAGTATCATGTAGTGTCCTATAGTATCTACCATAGCCCTAATATTCTACCACTGCACCTAAACCATGAAAAAAGTAAAGTTCTCATTGTGTACCACAACTTTTTGTTGCTAGTTGGTTAAAATTAGCTCTGGTCATAAATGCAAAAAACATAATAGTGCTGCACCCTGTTGGTAAGCCTTATACCTTTTTAATGCTATTTAATATCATAGAACCAACTTGTAAAGTTGAAACGGCTGACAAAATTCTTTAATTTCTTTAAATATGAATACTCATAAGGTTTACATGAGAAACTCCAGAGCCAGAGCCACTGGGGCGGAGCCTGAAATGATTTTTGAGGTAAGAATAATATGTCTATATGTTAATCGGGAATGTCAGCTATCATCATACTAAATTTCAACCTTGTCGGTTTAGTATTTTTCGCGTTTACTTGTCACAAACATCCATCCATACATCTATACATCCGTACATCCAAAACTTTCTGATTATAGAATCCTTATTATTTCCTATATCCATGAACAATTTATTTACAAAGATTTATTCCCTGTAAAATATTATTACAGCATTTCACAAATATTAGAACAGACTCAGTATAATAGATCATAAACATAAACAAATGAAGTAACTGAAAGAATCATACACTAATGAAATTACATTAACATATGGTTTGACAGCTCCATTTAAGTAATGTTAAATAATGTTTACATTCGGGCTTAGTGACATCATTATTTTAAATTTATAATCCTTACCCTCTCTGTTCTAATATTCGTGTAGTATTTAATATGTTTGAACCAGCTGTGTGGAATTGTGAAAATCAAAATTCATTTGACAGTTAGTTCTGCTTGTTTACATTTTTAAACTTTGTATTTTTTTATTTTTTTTTTTTTTATTTATTTACTTTACAATCTGTTCTATTATATACTGTATTGAACAATAAGTAAATACTATGTAATACGAAAAATTGACTTTGGAACATTAAAAATAGCTGTTAAGCACTCTCAACAACAAATTTTTCAATAAAAACACTTTACAAAAATCTGTAGGGCAGGTCGAGAATTGATGGCCTCTTAAGTCTGTAAATTGTATCCACGTTGTTTAATAAGTTAAGAGCTAAATGATTTTGATGATATTCCAATTTCGTTCACTTATGGTCATGATTTCGTCCTTAACTGTAGGCATCTTAAGGTCTTGATGTAGTGTCCTATTGCTGACATACCATGGTGCATTTGTTATCTTCCTCAGCATTGTCGATTGGTATCTTTCGAGAATTTCTATATTAGAAGTACTCGCTGAGCCCCATAGTTGCACTCCATATGTCCAGATTGGTTTCAATATAGTTTTATATAGCAATAATTTATTTTCTAGACTAAGTTTTGATTTTCTTCCGATGAGCCAATTTAACTGATTAGATTTTAAATTTAGTTGTTGCCGTTTTCTCCAAATGTGTGTTTTCCAAGTTATATAGTATCATGTAGTGTCCTATAGTATCTACCATAGCCCTAATATTCTACCACTGCACCTAAACCATGAAAAAAGTAAAGTTCTCATTGTGTACCACAACTTTTTGTTGCTAGTTGGTTAAAATTAGCTCTGGTCATAAATGCAAAAAACATAATAGTGCTGCACCCTGTTGGTAAGCCTTATACCTTTTTAATGCTATTTAATATCATAGAACCAACTTGTAAAGTTGAAACGGCTGACAAAATTCTTTAATTTCTTTAAATATGAATACTCATAAGGTTTACATGAGAAACTCCAGAGCCAGAGCCACTGGGGCGAAGCCTGAAATGATTTTTGAGGTAAGAATAATATGTCTATATGTTAATCGGGAATGTCAGCTATCATCATACTAAATTTCAACCTTGTTGGTTTAGTATTTTTCGCGTTTACTTGTCACAAACATCCATCCATACATCCATACATCTATACATCCGTACATC